ATGCCTACAGCGATATAGAAAAAAAATAGAAGGAAACACCAGAGATAATCTCAAGATTATTCGTGAAACATTTAGAACAAAAATATTCTGAGAAAACTGAGGGTTGTCAAACAACAATTCAAAGGGAATTCTTGATAAAAAAAAAACTACAAGTGGTTGTACGCAATGGTGACGTAGGACTACTTGGTCTTATATAATAAATCTCATTTGTTAACTGTAGCAGGAGCTTGTGTTTTGTGTAGGAATAGGAATTTGAGCGGGGTTCTCTCTGTTTACACTATTTATTATGTGGGCTGCAGCTCGTCAGGTGGGCTGCAGCTCGCAGCTTCCAGGTAGCTTTTCGTTGTGTACTTGAGAACACCACCACTCACCACGAGGTGATTGAATAAACACCGTTTAGAGAGACCGGATGGAATTCAACTTTGAAATCTGTGCTAGGGAAATCGCTTTTCGTAGGCAATCAGTGATAATTTTAATAATCAAAGCAACAGTTGCACATTCGTGCAATTTTCAATAGTGACATTATAAAAATGATAAAGTCTTAAATTTAACAGATGTGTATAGTAATATATCTGATCGATTGGCGATAAAATTATTGAAATTAGTCCAGGGGCAGCTGAGTTATTAACGTTCAAAATCTTTCATTTTTTGTTACATGTTCCATTTTCGGTTTTCACAAAGTGTACCTCCATATAGAGGGGTTCTCTCTGTTTATACTCTTTAGTATGACACGCTTGACATAGATGGCCCACAGCGACTCACGAAGAGCACGAATAAACACCGTTTGGTGAGACCAGATGGAATCCAACATTGAAATCTGTGTTAGGGAAATCGCTTTTCACAGGCAATCGGTGATAATTTTAATTATCATAGCAACAGTAGCACATGAAATTTTGAAAAATGATAAAGTCTTAAATTTCACAGATGCATAGACATATTTCTGATCGATTGGAGTTAAAATTATTGAAATTGGTTCAGGGGAAGCTGAGATATTAACGTTCAAAATCCTTAGTGGGAATGACACTGATGAAGACTGCACATCGTAGTCCAAATACTTATCTGTCATGGATACCAAAATTAATAAAGTGGAATTAAATGGAAGATAACATTTTTTGCTTTCCACTAACAACCCATTTTTATTACTTCAATTCCATTCAGTTACAATGAGACGAAAAAATTGACATGATTCTGAAAAATAAAGCAAGTTTGTCAAAATCTCATAAAAGTTGATTTTTTCAGGTTTTTAGATTGAAGAATTTTTTAAATTTAATATTCGATTCTGAAGATATTTCAAATGTTCAGTGGATTTTTTTTTTCAAGCCTAGGATCTTTAAAAACAACTAAATCAGAAATCTTTAAAACTTTCCAGAGTACATCATGCATTAAACTTACACATTATAGAAGAACCAAAATGTTTAATTTTCGTCATATGTTTCTAAGTCTGCAATCCATAAGAACTAAACTAAAATAAACGATTTACAAAGCATGAGAATAAAACATGGACGCATCATGATATAAGCATAGAGGTAACTCTAAGACCAGAAGGTCCCGAAGAAACGTGCTCAACTTTTTGGCTCAGCTTTGGTACTATCTTCGGTCCCAAGCTAATCGATGCACCCCTCGAAACATAGGAGAATCCACGAACCCCTCATTTTATCTGTCAAACTTTCATAGCGAATCAAAACAAACATTGTGTAGTACTAGAATTTCGACTAGAATGGGGAACGTTAATCTATTTGCTTGGGACCAATAGGCTAGTCAAGTAGTGAGCCAATTTAAAATCGTTAGTTTTCACCGGTTGGTTTAATTATGTCCTTCACACCATTGTGGGACACTTAAAGTAGTGGCACAACTTCTCAATAAATGCCATTAAGTTTGCGAACTTTTGCCCCATTGCTGAATCGAGTTTCACAAAGATCATATCATTCAATTAGTTAATATTGAATCTGTAAATAAATTTGTATTCTACTTTTATAAGTTATCGAAAAGTCTGTGAAAACCTCATTATAAGGTAATGGCAAACTATTCTAATGGAGAAATTTATAGAATTTCGCTAACTTTTTCAACACTGCTTCTACCGTTTAAAATCCGCACACACTCAAATTGCTCTAGCTTTTGATCCGTTGGGTAAAATTAATTGAAATTTTGCGTAGACATAGTTAAATTTGTATTGCTTACACAGAAACAAAATCCATTTGCAAAAATACTATATTGATGGTTTAAATTAAAAACTCCCACCAATAGATTTGTGCAGAAACGAAATTCATTTAAATTGACAAATTTTTCTATCAAAACTACTATATTGTTTGAGTCAGCATAGTAGTTTTGACAGAATGGTAGTAAATTTGATTATATACTGAAATCATGGTAGATTTAACGGTATTAAGCGTAGTTATACTGAAAATAAGTGTTTTCTGCAAAATAGTATTCCAAACTATTATCTTTGTTTCAGTGTACACTCTGTGAGTTGATTTCATCAGGTGCGCAAAAGTATTAAAAATGGCGACGGAAGAACAGTGCGTGCGCCAAATATTTTTGCACGAGTACTTTGAGTATAAGGATCTGTCGCATCGTGCCATCGGAAAAAAAAGTTGGGTCCACGGTGTCTGGTATCATAAAACGGTTTGAAGAACGTCTGAATGTTGATCGGAAGCGAAGATCCAGTAAAAAAAAGCTGTCAGGTCAACGAAAACGATCACAAACGCGTGGAACGGAAACCGAGTTGCATGTGAGCGAGACTTTCATGCAGAATGCCAAAACTCAAGCTGGACTACGTACGTTTAAGGTTCAGAAGTCCCCAAACCGAGACGAGAAACAGAATACGGTCGCAAAAAGCCATGCCCGGAAGTTGTACGACCAGAAGTTAACGAAACCACACTGCTGCGTAATGGATGGCGAGACATATGTGAAGGCGGACTTCAACCAGATTCCAGGAAACCTAGACCCCTTCTTTTTACTCCCTGAAAATTTGGTGATGATCGGATAAAAACTCGAATTTTGAGAATGAATTTTGTGTGTGCGAATTTTCAACGGTACACCCTTTACATGATACAATGCTACTAAAAGCGTACAAACACCTAAATCTAAAAGAGATAACTAAAAGTAATGATAATAATGAAATGATATGAATGATAATGAAAAGTAGCGATAAAAGATTACTCCAAAGCATCATCTCACACACTCAATCTAGCTCGATAAAAACTCCAACAGCCGATTTCCTCGGCATTTACTTGTGTTGATATCTCTGCAACATACTTGTTTGTTAAAAATCTAATTTTGGTATATGAGTCTAGGAAATTGTTTGACTGAATCTCAGCAAAGTAAATTGCAAACAAATTAATTCTCACGTCACTTTTCAAAAGGTCCTAACTAACAAATGTAAACAAATCGATTTAAGCGATACAAACTATTGCTCTTCTATCATTGTATATGATGCAAAAACACCCATCCAAATTTACTTTCATTTATTTAAGATAATCATAGGTCAAAAATTGTCCAACGTACAGTTTTAAATGATAGGTACATGATTGTTACTTCGGTAATTCGGACTGCCCAAACAAATTTGGTGCTCATTTTTTAAAGGCGAAGCCAATCTAAAGTTAGGTACTCTACTATGAAATCTGTGAAAGGGAATCTAGTATCATGTAAAACAAAACATCCAATGTAACACTCATTGATTATGTCATTGAGAAAAATCATTCAATGTAACATGTCCGACGTACAACTTGACTAGTCAAAACGTCCTATGTGATTTTTTCTATATTGCAGCATGAAATTCATAGCAAAATTGTGACTTTACCGTTTCTTTCTTCTTTGACTACATTAAAAATAGTATTGAAAAATGTATTGTTTCTAAACAATTAAAATAATAATCTGTCGAACTTCAACTTCGATTTTCTCAAAATGGTGGATATGTTACATTGGTCTATTTGAAAAGTGACGCGAGAATTGTGCAGGGTTAATTCGTTCACCAAGGCACAAACTTTGCTTAAGCTACTCATGCAACCAGTATTGTAATACACATACATGTGCCATTACACCCCAAAGTATCCGGCCTTGTACTGACGTAGCTAAAAATTAGATATATACATATTATGAGCATATACCGGCACCTCGCGAATGTTTGGCGGGCCGCATCAAATTGTTCATATTAATTTACTGATCCACGAGCTGTATGTGAGTTCTGTTGATCATTTTTCTTTCACTAGGGATGTATCTACACCTACATGCATTAATGCAAATATAGTTGACCGGTGAAACCCCATATAACTAGTTCCTCAAAACAACATGAGTCATGCTTGATTCAAACTGCCAGTTAAATACAACTATCTATCCATTTGTGCCATAACCAGTGCCGGTGCCGTCATTTCGCAAATCCAATATGGTTTTCCCATTTCATAAAACGTTATGAAACTGTTTGTTGTTAACCATTTTTCGTAGGTCAGCAAAAAAAAAGAAATGATATACCTGCATAGGATAGAACTATAGAAAAAACACACATTCTACAGCAACATCCTGACCAATCATACATCAATACCACAGTCGACGGTTGAGCATACATGTACTCAGCTCACAGTGACACAGTCCGAACCCTGTAAGGTGCTATCGAACCACAATGTTACCGAGAGTTCAGTAGTATTTTATCGCTCCATTGGAGAGGCCGTGACGAGACAGGTTCATTTCAACTATTTGTTCACCTGTGTCGTAGAAGTGTTATTGTACGTGACTTATTTTATCGGGAAAAGGTAAATGTTGACCCGCTCTAAAGCAGTAGCGTCGTATTATCACTGTGTTCATGTTACCACCCGCACTAAATGATTGGAAGCATTGTGCGCATTTCACATCGCATTGTGAATAATTTACACGTACCCGTGATGTTCTTATTTTTTAAAAGTATATGTGTGTTGCAAAAAAAAAACAGATGGATGGCTGATAAGGGGCAAAACTACACATCGCTTTGTGCGCGTTCGATTGAAGACTTTCAGAACAAATGATCGATATCGATACGTAGCCAGTTTTGTTCGAGAATAATTTGAAATCGATCATTGAAACAATCACCTCCATTCAGTGTTGCTGGAATGAAAGTTAAATTTAGTTCGAGGTCATTATTCATCGCGGTGAGAGATAGTGGATCATTTTTCTTTGCCCAGAGTAAAGAGCCAGAAACATAGTGTGGTAACTGGTGAAACAAACGGATTCGACATATAAATCGTGAACCGGTTAGTGTCAAAAGAGTGCTGCGTATGCACCGCAGCAAGGTTGTGTGGTTTAAGAAGCATAAAAAATGACTCCATGCTAAAACTGGAATTCTGTGCACTGAATGTATTGAAATCAAGTATCTGGATCGTATGCCATAAGAAATAATTGGTAGTTTGAACTCGATCGAAAGTAGTTTTCAATTGGCCTCCCTGTCTGTAAAGGCGCAGTTATAAAGCAAGACCATGCTGGAGGCGGCTGGGTTCGATTCCCGGTAAAATCTAGGAATTTTTCGGGTTTAAAAATGTATCAACTTCTCTGGGCATAGAGTAGATTGTACATGCCATACTAGTACAAAAATTGTACAAGCATCGAAAGCTCTCAATTAATAACTGTGGAAGTGCATCTAGTAGTAGAGTAGTTGAGAGCATGCAATAAGCTAATATGCGATAAGCAATAAGCTTTAAATGCGAGGAAGAAGAAGAAGTAGTAGTTTTCAAGTGGCACTACAATGCATACTATGGTTTCATTTTACGTATGACTAAATTGATATGGACATGCTACTGTGGTAGAGCTGTCCACAAACTGTTACATTACATAAGAGTACTTACGGAAACGTCTAGACCTAAGTTTGGCATCAGCTTTGCTTGAGACTGTCGGATCTATTCTCGATATATGATTGAGATATGAATATTGTGGGTCACCGGTACATTCGGATTGCGGTACATATGGTTGGTTATCATCGCAAAACAAGGCAAAGTATTTCATACACACTTAGTTTTGTTTTCGCCAGCTCGACAATTTCTTGCCGAGATTTGCACAGCCGAGTGCTCGGCAGTAAATTTTACTGTTATCTCAGCAAACATGACGTGGGGTGTTTGCTGAGATTCAGCAAAACATAGTCCGAGACTCAACAACGAAACGTCACTTTTGTTGCGCATCTCGGCAAAATATGTAAGCCGGGAGCTCGGCTGCACAGCAAAAAAATAGTTTTAATATCATATCAAAGTAGATGCACTTCAACCAACGGGTGGAAACTAACGATTTAAAATTGGCTCACTACTTAACTAGCCTATTGATCCCAAGCAAATCGATTAACGTACCCAACAATCAATACGAAACTAACGATTTTAAATTGTCTCACTACTTGACTAGCCTATTGGTCCCAAGCAAACGATTAACGTACCCCATTCTAGTCGAAATTCTACTACTACACAATGTTTGTTTTGATTCGCTATGAAAGTTTGACAGATAAAATGAGGGGTTAGGGGATTTTCCTATGTTTCGAGGGGTGAATCGATTAGCTTGGGACCGAAGAGAATACCAGAGCTGAGCCAAAAAGTTTACCACGTTATTTCGGGACCTTCTATTCTTAGAGCTACGTCTATGATTGAAGTGCATCCTCTTGGATGTAATATTAAAATTTATTTTTTGGGCATATCTCGGAAAAAAATTGCCGATATTCGACAAATAAAATAAAGTGTGTAATTTGTAGACATACACACTATAATTTGATAATAGCTGGTTGCATTTATTGAAAATCGTTACTTTCTTCTTCTTGAATTTTGACGATTCTAATGCGAGCCCTTGTTCTATAAAGCCCTTCTACAATAATGGTATGAATTTATATATCGTATGGCAAGCACAAAGATACCTACTCTATTCCCAGGTTAGTTGAGAGAATGTCCAACTTCCAATAGATTTCTAGACCGGACTGGTAATACCAACCGGTGGACACTAACGATTTTAATTTGGCTCACTACTTGACCAGCCTATTGGTCCCAAGTACATCTATAAGCGTACCCCATTCTAGTCGAAATTCCAGCACTACACTATGTTTGTTTTGATTCGCTATGAAAGTTTGACAGATAACATCAGGGGTGTGTGGATTCATGCAGAACATGCAGGGGTGAGTGAAATAGCTTGGGACTGCTTGGGACCGTTGTTCTGGTACTGAGTGAGCCAAAAATAATAATGATTTTCTTCGGGACCCAGTGGTCTTAGAGTTACCTCTATGGATCTAATGTGCGTGGGCCTTTAAGCAATCCACTACATTTTGAACTGATCAGTGATGCCAGTTCTTTTAAAGTAAATTTAGTAGATGTCAGCTCTCGAGAATGATACGAGGACCAATGCATACCACTGAAGGCATATACAGTAATGACCCGATTTTGTCAGCCACCTTTTTGAAAAACTTTTCTAATGTTCTACAATACCCAGGGCTTTTTCAGTGGTCTTATTGCACCAAAGAATACTTTAAACACCTATCTTGTAGATGCATGAGAATGATTTAGAATTGAGATTTTATGAAATTATTTAATGACAAAAGTCTGATGCGCGGAGGGACCGACAAAATCGAGTCATTACTATACCAAATACTAATCTGACGAATACAGAATACATATTGTTTGCTTCACACTAAACAATCAAAACAAATCCTTCAAAAGGACTGAGCTTCTGAGAATGTCTCCAACGAATTCGTATTTCTGAAAATTTCAATCAAATCTATTGAGAAATCCAACTTAAACTCCTGCGCGCCTGGTGGCAGGAATAAGCACTAACCGACGGTGATAAGTCTGTGACAGCCCTTGACAATTTCATTGATTGTTTGCAAAATTATTTAATTTCAATGTAATTTCATGCAAATTTCTTGTCAGCATGGATGAACCTTGTACAAAATGCATAAAATTATTTTGTAATGCATTGTTCCTAAATAAAAAGCTACTTCAAGACAGTTAAATTACAGAAAACATGTTAAGGTTTAAAGTCATCTGCCGATTAAACAGCAGACAAAGTTGGCCGACTAAATCCATCGACGAAAAACTATTAAATAGGCCGATTGCTCGGTGTAGCACCAGACGAAAAACGATTTAATCTGCTGATTAATACACCGACTGAAATTAATTTTTAAGTGGCAATAGATTTAGTCGGTGGACGAATCGGGTGATCTGGATGATGTTTGTTTATTTGGAAGATATTTTCGAAACAAAGCACGATAAAATTCAGAATTATATACCATTATTACGAGTACTACTTTTTTGCTCGGATCATGTTTTGACTCCCACAGAAACTCGCTAGAATAAATACAAAATAATAGTTTTTTGGTTGAAATTTCAAAAATGTATTCAGTTTGACACATTATTTCGGACTTATCAATAGATCTACCGAAAATTTCATAGAACCGACGTCACTGACTTCCATCTGTTTTGTTTTTATTCAACACCGTAAATTTTACTGTTATCTCAGCAAACATGACGTGGGGTGTTTGCTGAGATTCAGCAAAACATAGTCCGAGACTCAACAACGAAACGTCACTTTTGTTGCGCATCTCGGCAAAATATGTAAGCCGGGAGCTCGGCTGCACAGCAAAAAAATAGTTTTAATATCATATCAAAGTAGATGCACTTCAACCAACGGGTGGAAACTAACGATTTAAAATTGGCTCACTACTTAACTAGCCTATTGATCCCAAGCAAATCGATTAACGTACCCAACAATCAATACGAAACTAACGATTTTAAATTGTCTCACTACTTGACTAGCCTATTGGTCCCAAGCAAACGATTAACGTACCCCATTCTAGTCGAAATTCTACTACTACACAATGTTTGTTTTGATTCGCTATGAAAGTTTGACAGATAAAATGAGGGGTTAGGGGATTTTCCTATGTTTCGAGGGGTGAATCGATTAGCTTGGGACCGAAGAGAATACCAGAGCTGAGCCAAAAAGTTTACCACGTTATTTCGGGACCTTCTATTCTTAGAGCTACGTCTATGATTGAAGTGCATCCTCTTGGATGTAATATTAAAATTTATTTTTTGGGCATATCTCGGAAAAAAATTGCCGATATTCGACAAATAAAATAAAGTGTGTAATTTGTAGACATACACACTATAATTTGATAATAGCTGGTTGCATTTATTGAAAATCGTTACTTTCTTCTTCTTGAATTTTGACGATTCTAATGCGAGCCCTTGTTCTATAAAGCCCTTCTACAATAATGGTATGAATTTATATATCGTATGGCAAGCACAAAGATACCTACTCTATTCCCAGGTTAGTTGAGAGAATGTCCAACTTCCAATAGATTTCTAGACCGGACTGGTAATACCAACCGGTGGACACTAACGATTTTAATTTGGCTCACTACTTGACCAGCCTATTGGTCCCAAGTACATCTATAAGCGTACCCCATTCTAGTCGAAATTCCAGCACTACACTATGTTTGTTTTGATTCGCTATGAAAGTTTGACAGATAACATCAGGGGTGTGTGGATTCATGCAGAACATGCAGGGGTGAGTGAAATAGCTTGGGACTGCTTGGGACCGTTGTTCTGGTACTGAGTGAGCCAAAAATAATAATGATTTTCTTCGGGACCCAGTGGTCTTAGAGTTACCTCTATGGATCTAATGTGCGTGGGCCTTTAAGCAATCCACTACATTTTGAACTGATCAGTGATGCCAGTTCTTTTAAAGTAAATTTAGTAGATGTCAGCTCTCGAGAATGATACGAGGACCAATGCATACCACTGAAGGCATATACAGTAATGACCCGATTTTGTCAGCCACCTTTTTGAAAAACTTTTCTAATGTTCTACAATACCCAGGGCTTTTTCAGTGGTCTTATTGCACCAAAGAATACTTTAAACACCTATCTTGTAGATGCATGAGAATGATTTAGAATTGAGATTTTATGAAATTATTTAATGACAAAAGTCTGATGCGCGGAGGGACCGACAAAATCGAGTCATTACTATACCAAATACTAATCTGACGAATACAGAATACATATTGTTTGCTTCACACTAAACAATCAAAACAAATCCTTCAAAAGGACTGAGCTTCTGAGAATGTCTCCAACGAATTCGTATTTCTGAAAATTTCAATCAAATCTATTGAGAAATCCAACTTAAACTCCTGCGCGCCTGGTGGCAGGAATAAGCACTAACCGACGGTGATAAGTCTGTGACAGCCCTTGACAATTTCATTGATTGTTTGCAAAATTATTTAATTTCAATGTAATTTCATGCAAATTTCTTGTCAGCATGGATGAACCTTGTACAAAATGCATAAAATTATTTTGTAATGCATTGTTCCTAAATAAAAAGCTACTTCAAGACAGTTAAATTACAGAAAACATGTTAAGGTTTAAAGTCATCTGCCGATTAAACAGCAGACAAAGTTGGCCGACTAAATCCATCGACGAAAAACTATTAAATAGGCCGATTGCTCGGTGTAGCACCAGACGAAAAACGATTTAATCTGCTGATTAATACACCGACTGAAATTAATTTTTAAGTGGCAATAGATTTAGTCGGTGGACGAATCGGGTGATCTGGATGATGTTTGTTTATTTGGAAGATATTTTCGAAACAAAGCACGATAAAATTCAGAATTATATACCATTATTACGAGTACTACTTTTTTGCTCGGATCATGTTTTGACTCCCACAGAAACTCGCTAGAATAAATACAAAATAATAGTTTTTTGGTTGAAATTTCAAAAATGTATTCAGTTTGACACATTATTTCGGACTTATCAATAGATCTACCGAAAATTTCATAGAACCGACGTCACTGACTTCCATCTGTTTTGTTTTTATTCAACACAGCTGACACGTTGACAGAACAAGGGAAAAGCAACTAGTGAAAAAATTGCATGAACGAGGGATGCGCCGGTTGCCAAATACGCTTGACTATATTTTTTGAAGATTTTTTTTTCTAAGAGTTATGTCTGGTTGTCTGTGGTATCAATATATTAACGCGAAGGGGAATTATTAACAATAATATGGTGGATGTGACTACAAAATTATTGTCAATACCGATGTTTTGACGTCAATATAGCATACTAAGGTTTCATTTTACGATTATTGACAATAAAAGCAAAAATGTACGCGCTATTTCAAAACTACCCAAATTTGGGTAGAATCCACCCAGATCGGTCAAAACTGAACCTACCCAAAAATGTGTAAACTATGTTGGGACTGACAAGTTGACAAATGGGCAAAGTCGATCAGATTAATGTTGATGTTGTCAACTTGTTACTCCCAACATAGTTTACCCATTTTTGGGTGGGTCAGTTTTGACCGATCTGGATGAATACTATCCAAATTTGGGTAGTTTTGAAATAACGTGTAGGATCCACTTTACAGATTGATGAGTATAGACTAGTACAGATTGATACAGATGAACAAATTTTGAAATGTCGCTGCCACAATATTTTTAAAAATAATGTTGTCGTGTTTATGTTTCTAGATAGTGCTGGAATTAGGGCGTAACAGCTTTTGTAAACAATGACTTCTCTTGGTGATTTTTAGAAGGTCAAGGCTCGCTCACACAAATCAACATCACCATCGGCCCGGCATCGGGTAGGTGAAGACTTCCGCTTTCCGATAATTATGTTGGTTTGCGTTGGCGTGCCTTGAATTCCTAAAAATCATCGAGAGAAGTCATTGATTAAAAAAGCTGTTACGCCCTAATTTCAGCTCTATCTAGGTTTGGTAAAAATCGAGCTAAGTTATTTTTTTCCAATACACTGACACTAGAAAATTATCTCGTGAAGATTATACGAAACTATATATTCTTGTTTGTACGCTTTTACAGTCCATTGTAAGGACTGCCCTATTAAATTTGTCGTAAAGAAAAAATGCAGACAATTACACACTTCCATTTTATTTTCATGCCATTTGTGCTGCATTTTGCGAGAACTACCGCCGCCAAAGCTTTTGCTATGCGTGGTTTTTATCAATAGCAACTGTAATTTGAAAACCTGAAAACCTAGTTACACACTAGAATGCATATCCCGTTCTTGTGCGGGCTTCTTATCATGTCACACTCTGCCATCGTCATGAAAAGGTTTAGCGAAACTTTGTTAGATAACCTTTACGACGGTTACCTTAGGCATCCGTGCGAAGAGACCTCCGTGCTTTGCTTGGTCTTTCCATATTGGTAAAAATAGCAGGATACTTCTGCTTCTGCAGCAACTATTTGTTTTTGTCATTCTTAACTACCATGTTTGAGTGTGCTAAAGCTTAACTGTTTTGATAAGCTTCATTTCAATGCTCTGGATAAACAGACACGAAAGTTAGGCCTATTCTGCGCGCCGTGTGAGGTGACAATTATCACCTCGGGTGAGGTGACTCTCCGTGCAAATAAAATGGAGACCAGCTCAGCCGAGGCGACAATTGTGCAATTATGTAAATTTCTTCTAGAGAAAGACGTGTGGTCAGTAGGAAGTCTGGTTTAATCGAGGGGGACGACTCTATCTACGCTGCAGGAAAGATTGTGTTGTGCTGTGGCTAGCTGCTCGCACGCTGAGTAGATAGAAAGAAGATTGATGACGATTCTGAAGATTTCCTGCAAAAAGATGATGCACGATGCATGTAAATGCGAGAAATGCAAGAAGATTTTTCGAAGATTGATTCGCTAGTGTGAGATTTTATAAGCATCTAAAATTGAGATTTCGATGTGTCGCCCCCCTCGGGTTTAATACTAGATATTTCCGTTTCAGGGAAAATAATTCGACGCACTGACAGCCACAGCATGCTATTAAAGCTGATAATCTGACGCCAAATGCTAATTTTTCTCTGTACTGGCAATAAGTTCTTCATTTGTTGATAGCGGGTAAACAATTTGTTACATAAATCAACTGCTCCTTTGATCCAACTCTTCACTTCCACTCAGTTGATGGTCTGCAGTCAAATCTTCGTTCTTAAAATTGTTAAAACCACTTCTCGATAAGGATAGTTGAATCCTTCAGTGGTCTTTTGCGGGTGTGTTAGCAGGTTTACAGCCGTCCATTCCGAAACGTACCAGAACTTTTCGGATTAGTGCTTGATTGGGACAGATACTAGTACCTTCCTAGTCACGTTCCATCGTGATGCCCAGAAAATGATGTACTCCGTTATTTTGCTTTTTTTTTAAATAAAAAAACATGGTTTTGATTCTGCACATTATAGTTTCATTTTTATACCTGATCTTGACATGTTTACATTGGGGATGAGTACTTAATAGGTATTTAGTGGGAATTACACTGGCAAAAACTGCACATTATATGTGAAATATGTAGGTATCTTCCATTTAATTCCACTTAATTAATTTTGGTATCCATGACAGATACGTATTTCGACTACAATGTGCAAGACTGCACAATGTGCAAGACTGAATGACACTGATGAAGACTCATCAGTGTCATTCCCACTAAAGAACTTATCAAAATCTAACCCCCTTAAGTACTCATCCCCTAGGTAAAAAAAAGTCAAGATCATAGGTATAAAAATGAAACTACAATGTGTTGAATCGGAACCTACCTAACTAATAAAAACCAAAGATTTAAGTAAGCTAAAGGAGAAAAATCTATACAACTCTCTAATAAGGAAAATCCCCAAAGGCTTGGTAGCCATCATAATGAAGTAATGAAATTGGGTTGTTAGCGGAATGCTAAATAAAACAGCAATTAAATGGAAAATAATCATCTTTATTGCTCTTGGCCACTAACAACCCAATTCATAACCTTCCTTATAATAATGTTTGAACACCGTTCTGAGAAAAACTGACCATTTTTCAGCAAGATTGGTAATCGCCCTTATTCTGCGAGTCACGTGACTTTCTGTCACCGGTGAGGTGACTCTCCGTGCAAATCAAATGGAGGGTCACCTCACCGGTGAGAGAGAGAGAGTCACGTGACTCGCAGAATAGGAGGAAATATGTTCATCGTACTACACGGATAGAAATCTCCTAATACCTTTTGGCAAATTTCTATTGCTGATTATTCATAAAATGTATAAGTCAACTAATAAGCAGACGCCTTGCAAAAAGTTAATGAAGATCATGTGTCAAATGAAATGTATAAGCGGTCACACATACCTTTTATGCATTCTTATAGGACCTATGTGGTTTGTCTTATGGAATGTATAAGGTTGATGTTTTGGCAAAAATGTATAAGTGAAACACATGAATAAAATAATTGATTTTCGTTTCGTGTAGAGTATCCATGTTGTTCTTGAAAAAAAAAAGTTGCTAGGAATTTGCTTAAACATTTCAACATTTTGCATTAAGATTGTGCATTACTATTTTTGAGCATAAGAAGTTCTTGATGTAGAACTTCTTATGCTAAAAAATAGTAATGCACAATCTTAATGCAAAATGTTGAAATTTTTAAGCAAATTCCTAGCAACTTTTTTTTTCAAGAACAACAAAATTCAAAATTCACACAAAGAACCTTCGATAAGATAATGCGAGCTTCCACCACTAATTTCAGATAAGAAAATAACCTGTATATATTATACGACCTGGATTACTCACATTTGTTTCACAATGTTTTCTCATTCCAGGAAACCAAACACAAACCGACAAGATGTCGCTCAACACCAGTGCAAACCTAGTGAAATATCTTCTATTTCTATTCAATTTTCTCTTCGTGGTAAGATTACAAGCCTGACCCCGCCTCGCCCAAATAATCATTTATCTCGGGATCCTTTTCTTCTCTAAATGTGTGTTTCAGATAACCGGTATCGCGATTATGGCCATTGGCCTAACGGTGCAAGGTGCATATCACAACTTTAGAGAAATACTCGATCCGCAGTTCTTCAGCGTGCCCACTTTCTTGGTCGTGATTGGAAGTTTCATCTTTGTCATTGCATTCTTTGGATGCTGCGGAGCCTACAAGGAAAACTATTGCATGACGCTGACCGTAAGATTTGACTAATTTTGGAAAGGAATGATTTTTCGATTTAATTTGAACTTATTTTTTCCCGGTAGTTCTCGATCTTGTTGGTGTTTATCTTTATCCTGGAACTGGCCGCCGGAATCAGTGGCTACGTGCTGAGAAACGACACTTACAATCTGGTATCCACTACATTGCAGAGCTCTATGAGCAAGTACGGTGGTAACACGAGCAAGGAGATCACCATCATTTGGGATGAAATTCAAGTTGATGTAAGTGCAGAATGTCGATTTATGGAAGAAAAATAATAACATTTAAAATTTAAATATTCCACAGTTCGACTGCTGTGGGGTTAACAGTTCCAAGGATTGGTCTATCACCAACAACCAGCTGTTTAATGAAACTTTCCTCCCCATGACCTGCTGTCGCGCATCTACGGGTTGGTTTCCATACCGAATTTTGAAAAGGAGTTCTTCATAGCAATTAAAACAAAAATCTTTCCGCAACAGGTGCCATCGGAACGGTGAGCTGTATCGACCCCGTCCACCCGGAAACTCTACGCACAACTGGTTGCGTCAAATCGTTTGGGAACTTCATCAAGTCGCATGCTGTTAGCCTGGGGGCGACCGGTATTGCGGTTGCGGTGATACAGGTGAGAACATTTCCTGAATTCGCGAACTCACTGTAGTGGTAACGCTTATGTTTTCGTTTCAGTTCTTCGGCATTCTGTTTGCATGTTACCTATCGAAGCAAATCAAAATGCAACAAGGCCATACAGGATTCTAGATCAGCTTATGCGAAGACCGGCGCGTGGAAGTGAGTATTTGAGTTTGTTTATTAACAGAACACGCGTTGTGAATAAAGAATGAAAACATTGTGATCCTACAGAGAATATTTAGTATATACTGTGTACAAGAAATACAGTTTGCTTTGCCATCTGCTAACAAAATCGTAAATGTATAAAATGGCCGTAGAAAATTATCACAATCTACAGCTAGCTGACGAAATCAAAACATCTACAACATCGGATCTCCTACAAAGTTGCTTTGTAATATAATAATAAGCGACAATCTACAAACACATAATCGCTAGCATATTTGCCGATTTCGCTTCGATTGCGGTGAGTATTTATAGCTGTTTGAATAAATCAATGCAGCTCGTCTTACAATAGCAAGAACAAATCAGTCGCTATAAATCAATGGAGGCGCATGCTACCCCATCCTAGTCGACATTCTAGTACTACACTATGTTTGTTTTGATTCGCTATGAAAGTTTGACAGATAAAATGAGGGGTTAGTGGATTATCCTATGTTTCGAGGGGTGAATCGATTAGCTTGGGACCGAAGATAGTACCAGAGCTGAGCCAAAAAGTTGAGCACGTTTCTTCGGGACCTACTAGTCTTAGAGTTACCTCTATGGTTATAGTACCGCAATTATGTCACAAATCAATGGCCTGTTGAATGAAAACAACCGCACCCTGGTTCTCTGCTTTGTAAGTGCTCGTGATACAGCTCCTTTCCTTTCCATGGCAACCGAACCTTTAGTCAAGGAAGTGCATCATCGCAGTATTGTCCATGTGCTGTCTAACCTAGATTGGGAGCATATTCTAGATCCTGTAGACGTCAACATTGCTGCACAAACCTTTTCTCATGTCTTGGCATATGTCATTGACAGACACGTTTCCAAAAAGATCATCCATATCGACTCTCGCGTCCCGTGGATGACGAAAGATCTTCGCTCGTTGAAAAGAACTAAGAAGGCTGCTATCAGAAGATTTACCAAACTCCGCACACTGCCGCTGAAATGCTACACTCTGAAAAATCTTCACGTCCGATTTACGTGAAAACATAGGAGGTTTTCGTCCACCCTATTTTTCACGTAACTTTAACCGGAATTACACGTAGCCGATCAAAATCCTGCTTCGATTATCTACGTGATTAGTCAGGTAAATAAGACCTGATTTTCACATACTGCTTACGTGAAATCGGAGTGAAAACTACTGGACAACTGGTAACTTTTACGTAACATTCCGTTTTGTTTAAAATGCTTTTCACGTAATTTGTACGTGAATTTTGAATGATAATAATGGAACGTATATACAAAAGCAGTCAATATTATGCATTTGTATCGGGCAGATATAAAATCCACGTGTTGAAATTAATGCTTATATCTACTCATAAAATTGTAAATATGATGTAAATGATTATTATTAAGTAGAAACGTGTATGAGTTATTTTTTAATTCTGACAAAATTGTAACAACTGTTTGCCGCTGAATTTATAAAACTAGAAAAATGCGACATATAATCATAAATCAATTAATGTAAAAGAATCAAATTACCGTCCAATATTTGCAGCAAGCTGCTGGAAAGTTTTGAATCTTTGAAGTGTTCTTCCACCACGCTCGGTGACGCCATATTGATTTTGTTTGCGTACCTGAAAATCACGTAAATCCCGTTTTGCGGAAATATCGAAGTCCCAAACACACAAACACAAATACACGAAATCTGTTTACGTGAATATGCGGTCGATTTCACCAACATTTTTAGTGGACATGACATGCAATGCAGGTCAAAGTTACTAACATCACGTAACATTTGAGATTTTCTGTATACAGATCAGGTACGTGATATTTCACGTAAATCGGACGTGAAGATTTTTTAGAGTGTAAGCCAAGGGACTGGCACGCAGCCATCTTTTCGTAGGCAGCATAAAAAGTTAATACAAAGGAATCAAAGCTAGGCCCAAGCGTGGGCCCGCGGTTATGCTCGTTACGGCTACTTGTTATTAGTAGAGATAGGGGTGCCACTTCCCTGGTATAAGCGGTTAAGTCGTCTGTTTTTTTTTTGTTTATTAATTTATTTGATAAGGCTCAACCGAATTAACTTTACCGAGCCGAGGATTCTTGGTCACTATACAATACATCTTAAAACTATAGTCAAAAAGTACAACACAATAAATACTTTATCTTCCGCTATCAAAAAAGCCTCCTCCATCAGAACTGGAGCCGCTTCTAGTAGCTTCATTGTATTGCAAATTGTTGTACGCCAACGAGGGTCAGAGCGCGTCCATTGCAGCAATGGACGCAAAACGTGGTCAGCACTCACACACTCATCACGAAACGGTTGATTTCCAAAGTCGACGACGCATCGACCGAAAGAACTGATGATGAAGAACAATGAGGAGGACCACACCTGGAGGAGAGTGGCCTGCTTTTGTCGACAGCCGAGTGAACACTGAAGTCGTCTGTTTTCAACGCTATCAAAGGAGGATTCAACGGCGGCTAAAATCACACCCGAAATCCTTCTGGAACTTCGTAAATGAGCAACGCAGGGGGAATTCGGCTTACCCTCTTCCTTGATTTCTAATGGTGAAACTGCTGGCAATCAACAAGACATTTGCAACCTGTTATCAGCCAAATTTGCTAGCAACGCTACGCTAATCTCATTACTTCCGCGGCCAGTAATGTTCCTTTGGTCAACCAAACGCACAGCATGGTCGAAGCCACTACATATACGATTTCTAGAGCAGCATCTAAACTTAAGACTTGAGCTAAGGCTGGACCCGATGGTGTTCCGTCGATTATTCTTAAAAAGAACATAACTTGTTTTTTAGATCCACTGCGCCGCATATTCCAGCGGCATCTTTCCGTCTTGCTGGAAGACTGCGGATATGTTTCCTGTTCATAAAAAGGGAAGCAAACGCGACGTAGGGTTTTTGATCTAATTTCCGTCCTACTAAGCACAACCGAAACGGAACTTAGGAACCTCCGAAACAGGTTACGGAAAGCAAGGAAACGTCTTTTCAAACAACGGACTGAGCAAAACAGGCGATTACTTCACGACGTGGAGGAGCACTACACCAGCCGGTTGAACACAGTTTTCCATCAATATGTATTGCACATTGAGTCGGAGGCAAAGCGGGATCCATCGTCTTTTTGGACCTACGTGAAGAAACTTAGGTGGAATGGCGGTATACCACTCGATGTGTCCTATAAAGAAGCTCGTGCTGACTCCGCAGAAGAAGCTTCTGATCTCTTCGCCAAATTCTTCAAGGATGTTTTTTCGACTACCTCTCCCGCTCATTCTCCGGATGATCGTCGTGACTGGATGAGCAGCATAGCTCATTACAACTTGCATTTGCCGCAGTTGGATGTATCTGTTGAAGAGGTGATGAAAGTTCTTTCATCTGTAGATCCTTCTAAAGGCCCTGGCCCAGACTGTTTGCCGCCATCGTTCATTAAGAAATTTTCTGCATCTCTCGCTTCACCTGTGTCGATTATATTCAATCGTTCGCTAGTTATAGGTGTTTTCCCCACAATGTGGAAGGTTGCGTCCATCACACCTATTCACAAAGCTGGAAACATCCACAACGTTGAAAATTATCGCGGAATTTCGATTCTAAGCTGCCTCCCAAAAGCTCTGGAGAAGATCGTATATGAGGTCGTATATTAAGCGGTTAGGCCAATAATTACCGAACATCAGCACGGCTTTGTGAGGAAACGCTCAACAACAACCAACTTAATGATGTTTGTCAACTCGCTGATCAACTCCATTGAAAAACGACTACAAGTTGATGAGATCTACGTGGACTTCAGTAAGACGTTCGATAGGGTTCCACATGTGCTTGCAGTGGACAAAATGAGGTGTATGGGATTACCTAATTGGGCCACGAACTGACCGCTCAGCCTATGTGAGCATTGTTAATATTCGCCTAGTTTCGAGATATCCTCTGGTGTTCCCCAAGGTAGCCATTTGGGGCCTTTAATTTTCATCCTGTTCGTGAACGATCTGTGTAGTCGACTGTGTTCTTCGAGACTTATGTTCGCCGATGACTTAAAGATCTTTCGTACAATTAAGTCAAGACTTGACTTTTGCGCACTCCAGAAGGATATTGATTCCCTTTTGCGCTGGTGTACATTGAACGGTATGCAGGTTAATGTCACAAAATTCTACGCAATATCTTTTAGCCGTTCACGCGAGCCCTTACAACATGACTATAGGATAGGACTCAGTAGTTTGCTCTTCGTTTCTTCAGTTAAGGATTTGGGTGTTATCATCGACTCTAAAGTCAGATTCAATGCGCACATCTCCATGATAACTGCTAAAGCATTCGCCACATTAGGTTTCTTGAAACGAAACACAAACGCATTCCAGGACATCTACGCGCTGAAATCACTATACTGTGCTCTCGTCCGCAGTCTTCTAGAGTATGCTGTTGTTGTGTGGGCACCCTTTCACGCTATTCAAGCTAACAGAATCGAAGCCATTCAGCGAAACTTCGTAAGATACGCTTTACGTGTTCTGCCCTGGAACGATTCGGTAAATTTGCCGCCTTACGATGAACGGTGCAGGCTGATTGACCTGGACACGTCTTCGTGTTTGGATTGCTTAACGGTGACGTGGATTGCAACTCTCTTGTGAGCCAAATCTACATCAATGCTCCTCAAAGAGTTCTACCATAGAGGTAACTCTAAGACCACTGGGTCCCGAAGAAAATCATTATTATTTTTGGCTCACTCAGTACCAGAACAACGGTCCCAAGCAGTCCCAAGCTATTTCACTCACCCCTGCATGTTCTGCATGAATCCACACACCCCTGATGTTATCTGTCAAACTTTCATAGCGAATCAAAACAAACATAGTGTGGTAATAGAATTTCAACTAGAATAGGGTACGTTAATCGTTTGCTTGGGACCAATAGGCTACTAAAGTGGTGAGCCAATTTAAAATCGTTAGTTTCGTATTGATTGTTGGTTACACGCTTCTGTGGCAACCTACCCATCGGACCAACTATGGATGCAACGAACCGTGGACTTTGTGCTGTCGTGTGTTTAATGAAACGTTTGATGTATATGATTTTAACATTAGTAAGTCTACTTACAGACATAGAATTCGACACCTAGCCTAGAAAATATATGTACAACATTATGTTGAAGATT